TAGCGCTCACCGTACTTTTAAATGGAACCGTTTCCACTGAGATGTAATATATATTACATCCCAAACTATAAATATTTTTTCGATCGACCGAGCGATATTTTCATATTATATTTCACCTCCTGTACTATAATATAATATTATATTATAGCTGTGAACCTGTTTGAACTGTGAACTTGTGAATTTACATTATTTATTATCAAAAATATACATACTGTGAGCTGTAAATACAGACAGAGTAATTTACCTACCTAATGTAAATAAATACTTACCTAGATACTGTAAATAAATATTATACCGTACGTTGAAGTTTATAGAGGTTTATAGTAAGGAAATAACCAGTATTGTGTTCGTGTAGCATTCATTTCGATATGATAAATAGTGAGTTATTAGATTGAAACAGATTTATCGAGATATGTACGTTGCAGTTTTCACTTCTGTTAAAGTATTGTTGTTGTTTTTAGCCTAAAATATCAAATAAAAGTGTTACATGGAATCATTTTGTAAAAAAAGGGATCGAGTGGAGTATGTGCGAACCACTCCTAACACAAGCGTTTCAAGCTTACCAAGAGTGGTTAAAAGGAATATTAGTAATGTTAATCAATAAGATTACTAATATTATATTTAAAAAATAAATAAAAAACAGTTTAGAAGTTAAGGAAAAAAAATCGAAAATTCTTGAAATTTCATGTTTGAAAAAGTCGCGATTAATCGAAAATCGATCTTTTAATCCTCGATTTAATCGATAATCGATTCAAGTACCTTCGATTCAAATCGATTCACAGATCGATTTTTTTAAGAGTGAATCGACATGCCTAACTCAAACTGTCAGTTTATACAAAGGTACTCTGTGCTGTCAGTCATAAATAAATTAAAATAGGCTTATAATAAATATCGATATATCGAAATATCGATAATTTTGTGAGAAAGTATCGATAATTCGATATATTGAATTATAGACGATAAAAGATAGCTTGATCTCTGCGACATATGTCAAACTGACATTCCTAGGGTTGTCAGGATATAAAAAATTTCGATAGAAATTATCGATGTTTCTTACTGTTATCGATGCTAATGTAACATATAATAATTGGGTTATAATATTTTTAATATAAAATGCATTTATTCTCTTAAAGGAGTACACCCCAAATCATATCTGAATCAGTTTCTGAATCGCTAGAACAATCTTATAAATTTATTATAAACTCTAATTCTCAAATATTATCAAATCGGACGTCCCGCTCCCAATCTTCTTCCATTAGTTTTTTGCATTTGGATACCACCTTCTTCCAGTCTTCTGCAGATACATTGTCGACCGCACTTTTTAATAACTGCAACAATTTTATTTGCCGTGAAAGGCGGTGTTGTGTTGTATCTAGCAGCGTAACCTTAAAAGAAAACATATTTATAATAAGATTAATTAAACAGTTTAGTTAATAATTAAAGTACCAATCTAAATGAAATTCAAGCAAACAAACCTTTGACTTGGGCCCAGATAAGCTCGATCGGATTATACTGGCAGTGGTACGGGGGTAGTCTTATGACGGTATGACCCTTTTCATGGGGTATATCATCTAAGACATACGTTGGAGTACTAGGTTTGTGCAGACCAACAAGTCTTAATAATTCATTTTTAAGCATATTTTCATTGGCCTCTATTCCTTTTTCTTGAAGCCATGCAATGGTTTCTAATTTTCTGTTTGCCGAAGTTGGTGGTTTGTGCTTTTGGACCGAGTGACCGTTATCCATAATAATGCAATGTGGCTCCTTTAAATTATCTAATAATTTTAAAAACCACTCCTTAAATTTTTCAAAATTCATTTCCTCGTGGTATTCAGTAGTTTTAGTTAATTCTAATGCCAATAGGCAATTAGGCACAAAACCGGAGACGTCGCAGCATGAGTGATGATTAATATTTGACCTTTGCCTTTGGCTACTTTGGTGGTTGATTGTACAGTATCATCGGTCCAAGCTTTGGATAAGGTATGATTGGCGTTTAGCCATGTCTCGTCTAGAAACACTACTTTGTCCCAATTTGTGATTTTTTTGACTTTTCGGAGAAAATTCACTGGAGCAAGAGCAATGTCGGTTCTTTCCATAATAATTTTTCTTTTGTCACTTCTTTTATAGGAAAATCCAATATTTTTCAATATCTTCGTTAGAGATGGCAAGCTTCCTTTGTACAAGTCTGCGTCTTTGAGGGACTTGACAATTTTTGTCAATGTAGGCAATTCGCCCCGTGTAGAGTAACCATATACATGGTTGCGAATCACAGCGGCGTCAAAGTTGTCAATGTTTGTGACAGGAGCAGCCTTTTTCCTTTTTTTATTTGGTGTTGCAAGTTTTCTGTCCTCGTCTTCAGTCAATGCTGCGGTTGAAGATTCGCCATACTTTTCTTTGCTGATGCGAATTACTGTCGCATGTCCAATGCCAAGAGCATCTGCAACTCTATCACATACGTTCTCCATAATATCGGCCCGCCATTTTGGTTCTCTCGCTCAAAATATTCACCTAAGCGAATCACAAACTCACGACTTTGAGTGTTCAAAACGGTTTTCTTTGGCATTATGCCAACAAGAAACTAACAATAATAACAAAAGATAACAAAACTTATAACAACTATGGTAACAAAAACAAAGTAATGAGAACGGAAAACACGTAGCGTATACAAGGCGTCGGCACTCGTACTGAAGAGAATTAGAGAATGGAGGTTCATATCAAACAAGATGTCGGCACTAATTAAGTCGGCATGCCCATAAAGTATGACATTGACAGGTACTATCTGTACTACTAAGAAATTCAGGACTTCATAGGCGTGATTTTACTGACAGCTGTCGCAGAGATCAAGCTATCTTTTATGAACCATAATGGATATTTTTAACCGCCATATATCGATATTCGATATTTATATTAGAGTATCAAATTCATATCAATTTCGATATATTTTAAAATGTTACCGGGTGCGCGAAAAGTGACCAAAGGTATGGCGGGGCGAACTATCAAGTGGACTGTATTAGCGTGGTTCAAAAAGGAAACAAAACAAATGGTGGACGTGGCACGTGGCAAACTTTGGACAATATACTTGCTTTAAAATTAATTTGAGGCGTTGGCTGACACGACTTGAGATAAGCTGCTGCGGATAAAAGAACAACAAATAACACAGCTCATAATAAGGATGGGCACTTACCTGGGGGAAGCGGCGAGTGGCCTCTCTCTTAACGGTGATCCGCGCACGATGAAAAAAAATTCGTCGTGATCACGTGACACTTATCCATACACTTACAAAATATCGAAATATAAAATATCCATATAATTTTTACTTTCTATCCCTAAAGCAAAAACCTTGTTTATTAAGATGTTTGGCCTGGATGCTTGTCTTTTTGCTGCGGCTCTATCGCAATAACGCGAATATTGCATTATCGCAATGTATGTAGCCATATATTCGTGAAAACTTCGTTAGTTCGTGCTACTTATCTCGGACTCGCACTGACTAAAACCCCATGGTTTTCCACCTTCGTCGCATATTGGCAGGGCCACGGGAACGCCTTCGCACACATCCTTGGTCCCACCAGTGCTGGCCGCCCCATGGCGGCATCTCCTCGGGAGAGGAATTCTCCTCCCCGTTTTCTTGCCCAGGTAAGGCGCACCAGGACACATGGCGCACCTTCCTCCACAGCCTACAACTAAACCTGCGCAGCGGACGCCCCCGTGTCCGATGCGCGGGGGCAATGGGGCTAGAAAAAACGAGTATTCAGAAGCACTAGCCTTTCCAACCCCAGCGGCGGATCTGGTCTATGGCTCCGCCGTCAACCAAGATTCAGGTGCGGAGGGTAGGGTGAGCGGCGCCTAGCAATACCGATATTCCTCTCCCCCCTGCAGCCCCACCACCACCTTATCAACGATGCGGCCCCGTTTTGAGTCGCGGAGGACAGGGTGAGTGATGCATTGCCATACTAACACTCTTCTTCCACCGGGACTCCACCTCGCTGCAGCAGTAGGGGGGGAGGACACCCCTCTCGCCACAGTCCACCAGCACACATCCGAAGTGGGCTCGCCAAGCCCACTTGGAGTGGCCTCGTCGGGCCAGCCATATGGGTTCCTCTTTGTTCACCGCGGGTGACCACGCCACGGCTACTAAGCCCACCCGCCACGACGAGGCGAAAACCCGTTCGGGGCGGATGAGGGAGGCCTACTATGTTCAGCAGTGGACTTTTAACTTTAATAGGCTGTAACGGTAACGGTAAAGGTCTTAGATTATACAGCCTTATTTATTATTAATTAAAGGTAAATTGATCTCTAACGAAAAGGAAAAGACGCGTTAAAACCAGCGCCAACTCAGGAAAACACATCTTCACCACAATGGGAGGGACTCAACCAGGCCCACTCGACTTGTTAACATCCAAGGAGAGGAGTGCTTTGCGGTCCGAGCACTGTGTAAGCCGCACATCCGGCATGGAGCACTCACACCGCGGGATAGTCGGTCGGTTTCCCCCGTCATTAAGAGTTGAGTTCAACACAAAGAGGGAGCCTTTACGGCTTTTCTCATTGTGGCATGGGCCAGTGAGTCGTCCTCCCTGTACAGAGGTGGGAGAGATAGCTGATACTATGGGAGAGATCCACCCCAAGCAGTAAATTCTTTGTTCTGATAAAAAATAGACTTATGAATGTACAACGGTTCCATAACATACAACAAAATAAATCATGATCTAAACCTCAGAATACAGAAAAACTGTATTTTGAGATCTAAACTTGAATCCTGCGATTCTTAGCGATCATTTTATAGGAATCAAATATTTTTTCCATTCCGTAGATATTTCTTGATTTATATCGGCAACAATACTTTTATGTTAACTGCATCAATAAAATATAATAAATGAAATGACACTCTTGCACTAAAGAAATTTTATTAAATTGTTTACAAGCTTTCTCTTTTCACCTCTATATACCTGTGTTTAGGATTTCTTCCGACTTGTATCGAATTATAAAACAAAAAGAGAATTACCTTATTCTCTTTCCTTTTTGTCTATAAACATATTAATATCATCTTTTAGTTTCTCCAAAATATTTCTGTCAGTAGATTTCTTAGAAACATTGTCTGTATTATCAAGCTTTTGTTTGTTGGATTCTAAGTCAGTGACTTTTAATTTATTATCTGTAGTTACTAAATGTTTAACGAATTGAGTTGGTATAGCAAACCCAGATAGACCTCTATTGCTTATTTCTACATTGATGTCTTCTACAGGTTCACATATGCCAGAATCGGGTACGATATTCACCCTAGAATGAAACTTTACGCTCTGCCTGGTATCTTTATTCGAGGTTGGACTATATTTCATCTCTAATTCTTTAATATCTAAAAATGGATATTTTTTCATAATAACTAATTGTTCATACTGTCGGAGATCTGCTTCGCTTAGTATGTTTTTGTTAGGAAAATTTCTAAGACTCAAATATGTGCCAATTTCTTTTTGAGTGGAATTTCTTATTTTTCTAACGGTGTTTTGCAAGCCGGCTGCTACGTTTTTCGTATTTTCTGTGATGGTTTCATGATGTACTGAACCACATTGGAGAGTTTCTGAACAATTATAAATTAGACTTAGATTATTTATAATATACTAGACTAATAGACCTATCAATAATTAATTTAATTAGATTATTGATAGGTCTTCGTCTGAGCGCACGAAGTCCTATCAATAATCTAAGGAAATTAGGATTACACGTTCATTTTTTTAAACAATACACGACTTATTCATACAAAATATTTAACAACAGTAAATATTAATACCTACTCAAATCCGTGACCATTTAAATCGATCTAGTAAAATATGCCGATATCCTTAATGTGGCAATTACGGCAAATGTTTAAAACAAGATGATGGGGTTCCTTCTCTGCCGAAGGGTCCGATTGAGTTACATTTACTTATTTATTTTTCCTACAATTTGCAGTGTACCCACGGAACAGAAAGAAAATTCTGTTTTGAGAGTTTATCCACCGCTATGTGCCAGTTTGAAGGGACAGAGATCTAGAATAAATATAGACTGTGAGACAATTCATTTTAACTCATAAACCTGCCTCTTTGTTTAAAATTGGTTGAACGTGTTCATGGTCTGCATTAGCCACTTAATATTCTGTGGGATTGATAGCTCTTTTATCAGTTCAATACTATGAAAAAAATAGCACAAAAGCCATATCTATAATAATATGTAGGCATAGTCTTACTGCGTATGGACTGGGCCATTGAACAAACAAAATGGCACCGACTCATTGGTGCTAAAATGTTTATGGAGTACCAACGCGAGCTCATATGCGTGCAGTGTTTCCACTTTTAGATATTTTGCACTATTTTATGGTAAATCTACTAATATAGGTAGGGTTTTACGCAAGTAGACAGGGTTTTGGATAATTTGGGGTGAAATCCAACTTCAGGTAACCCTGTTTTCTATACCCACTCAATGTAAATTTTTTTAAATATTTATTAAAGGGGATAGAGTCAAAAGAGCTAGAAAAGTGTAGAATGAAAAAGTTTTTCATTCTGTGTATCGGAATAACGGTATAATATTTTACTTAGTTATATATACAGTTTTCCGATGAGACTGTGTTATTATAATTTAAAAGTGAGAACGTCTTCTTCATCACAAAACTCAAGTGTTTTAATTTATTTGTTTTAAAGTTTCTATAAAAAATATCGTGAAAAGATATTCAAAACTTGCAATGATGTTGTTCTTAAAAATTTTCAAAATTAGGTGTAAATAAGGCTGTTTAGATTTTTTACGATAATTTAGGGAGTATTTCTACAGGTTCTAGGACAAAACCATTATCATAAGTGAAAACACTGGTTCCATGGTAGTTCATGAGTATTTAAAACATGGCGCTAATTTACTCTATGCTTAAGGGGATATAGTAAGTCAGCTCAAATTCTAATTTCGTTCCCACTTGCCCGCGCGTCGTATGCTATGTACCGACATGTTTGTAATCACTAATACTGTAAGTAGAAAGGTCGTTAGACACTTATTTCATTAGGTTTATCATATTTATGCCTGTTTCTTAACGCCAAGCCAATCGCTTCTTATTTTTATTACGGTTATTTCCCATTTTAATTTTACGTCGTCCTGTTGCGTAATATATATTCTGATCGTAAGCGACACAACCTCTCCCTTCAAAGGCCGAAGCGAAGTGACCAAGCGGCAGGAATCACGCTTCAAGGGGCCGATAGTTTGAGTAATTTCTTTTTACAGTGAAAATAATGGTATTTAAAAAAAGTAAATAACATAAGCACTGCTTTATAGTTAGTTCAGTTAGTATGCAAAGTTTCATGATCTTATTTGAAGTATTTTATGAATAACAGCGGTTTATTGTTTATTTTGGAGGTAACTTTTGATTTTTTTCTATCGAGAAAATTTCACGAAATCGTGTTTTCGTCTAACATAATCCTTAACATTAATCCTCAACTTTACCATATATTTATTTCAAAATTAATGCTGCAATATTTTCGGCATAACGAAGGATCTTGCTAAGCCATTTGAGATTATATTTCCCCTTATACCGTGAAAAATTTTTGTTCATACGACCATATCGGTCATTTATATCGATGTATGTAGGTAAGCTTTTTATAGTGCTTAATTATACTACACTACTAATACTACAATACTATAATGAAAATATAAAATAACACACAAGATATATATTTAAGGCTGTTGTCATATCTTACGATTAGCATAAAGAGCCCTTGCAGACGAAGTGGACGTCTCTTTTCGTAATGGAAAAGTAAAATTGAACGAAAGAAACAACAACGTACAAACAGTTGATAACATTAGTCCGTTCCTTTCCATATTTGTGAATTACCAAAGATCATACAAGATACTAATTACATATATTATACTAATTACGCACATATATTATTGATTAATGTATTTAACAATTAAAATAAGTCATTGATATTTTTTATAAGATTTATTTTGACAATATGTGACGTTGTCTCTTCTCATCTTTGTGGTATTTTTTCGAATACTATAAATACATATACAATCTATTTTCTTTAAAAAATAATATCTATGAAAATATTTATCCAAGATTTAGGCAGGCTACGGGCAGCGTCAAATGTGTAGTACTGAATTGCGATCCCCAATTCCGCAATGCTTGGCGACTATTGTATATCCTTCCCACAATAGAAAGGGCCCATGTCATGCCCATGATTGTTACGGACTGTTTCAGTTACGGAATAACAGGTGTAATGTTGGGAGATTCGGAGAATAAATAATAATAGGTCTAGTGGTCTTGACTGTAGATTTATTACTCTCTGAATATCTATTAGGCTATCATATATATAGCTACATGAGCATACACTACACACACACTACACGCCCATCGGCAAAAAGAAAAAAAATGTAGCTACTCTGTTCCACTCAACTGCGGTGCATACACCGCACTTTAATTAGTCACTCGCTAGGCGCTTGTAGGGTTGTCACGTGTTGTGTTAAATCTCTTGATAAAATTATGCCGTCGTGTGTACTTAGACATTGCACAAATAATTCAAGAAATGTCAGTAAAAACCAAGGTATTACTTTTTATCGGTTAATAAGATACTTAATCAATGAAAAAATTATTATAAATTAATAATAAAATAAATTATTCCTAAGACGCCATCCTGTGTCATGTAACCTATTTAACAATACAATCTATTATTACCTACTGATCATTCTACCTATGTTTATTCTATGATAAAAAACCAACCGCGCGAACACAGAGTAGCGCACATGTTTTGTTTGAAATAGCTGTTCTAGTACGTAAGTACATATTACTTCAATGAGAATTACAAACATTTTTTCTACAAAACAAATCTTGGCGTTAAAAATCAAAAAAATGTACATTATTTTAAAATATTAAAATTATTATACTATATTATATTTGTAACATAATAAAATTAGAATAAATATCGTTAACACTGTAATTAAAAAAAAAAAACTTTCTATCTCTGTATTTAAATTTATTAAACAATCCTCAAATTCTTTGCGTAATTGTATTGATTCTCTAAGATTTTGTTTTAAAATACTTTTAGTTCGCATATCATAACTGCATAACTTTTTAAATTTTAATATTTAACTATTAATTCACTTGACATGAAAATACAATTTAAAAAAAAAACATAGTTATCAAAATATTATATATTGCATTGAGGCGTTATACAAGACTAGAGGAGCAAACCACATTGCCGCGCGTCGAACAAAGTGTAACCACTATCCAAATGCGACGACGTAGCTTTGAAATCATTAAAATTTTTAAGTAAACATATATCTGTCTCACTTACACAAGTCGCGGAAAACAATATCGTCCCTAAGATTAGATAAAGATAGACACACAAACATGCAGTGGCGGGTTGGTGTTGCATACTTTATGAAATTTTACCCAAAATGAGCAATATAAAGGAGTTTTTTTTTTAAAGTTGCAGTAAATTGTTTTTAGTTTAAATTTGTATATTTTCTTATTAGATGAACAGAAGTAAGCATAAGTAATGAAATAAAATATGTTTTTATATATTATTTTTATTGTACTAATAAATCAAACAAAAAAATAAAGCAAATAAAAAAAACAATTTTAGGTTTCTTAAGCGAGATCTGTGTTGAATATGCATAAGTTGTGAAATCATCACCAAGTTTTTGTCTCTTAAATTTAGTCTCATGACATTAGCTACAAAAACTTTGGTTATCAATAAATTTCGTTGATTTTCTTGTTTATAGAATTTCTAAACTACTTAACAACTTTAAAAAGTTTTTATATTTTTTTTTGCAACAATACTGAGGATAGTTAATGGATTCAGGCGTGACTCTGCGGAAGTCTATTTGTAAGATAATATAAATGGTTTTAATCTGTAATACTAATCCGCTTAAATATTCATAATAGTCCATGCTCTCAAACTCCGCTATGAAGCATCAGTTTGTTATATAATTGCCTTTTGGATTCTTTTTTGTGTGTTTGAGTGTATAATTTACTTTCGTGGTACAATCTTATTTTTAAGTACTTATAAATAATGGCATTAATCAATAAAAGGGAATGATCAACTTGTATTGCATTGCGTGCTGCATCTTTAGGTACACTGCAAATTTATTAATATAATATAAAATAATAAAATATAATTAATAGACCATTCATGAATAAACTAAAATAAGAATAATTATTTTGTATAAAGGTTGAAAAATAGTTTTTATTTTTAAGAAATCAATTTTACTTGTTTATTTTAAAACAAAATTAACTTATTCCATAAATTATACAGTCTCCCATTAATGTGGAAAAATCACAAAGGCGGAAAAGTGGCAACATTGAACCTAAATTGCAATATTCGATATTTTATTTAATTTTTTAGTGTTTTAAACGTTAATATGAATATATAAATTAAAACTTACGTATGGAAAGTGATTCCGCTTGATTTATTATGTTTTTGTGACCTTGAAACGCATTCTTTCACTACGCATTTACCCATTTTTTGTTGTAAATCGTTCGGCTTAACTCGGACGGCGTCACCTTGAACACTGAACCGACGTTCGCTGAGTATAAGGCTGTGGCCTTATGTGAAGTGACAACGCTTTGGCGCGGAAATTACTTATCTAGTGTAACATATAAATCAATGATATATTGTATATAAGGCTGTTTACAATATTATTATTTTCTTAAACTTAAACTAATTTTTTTATCTTAATAAACCTTAAATGTAGAATAGTCAATACCGTTAAAATATTATCCTTAATCCTTATTTTTAAGTAGATAAGCTTCAACATACTTATTTAAATCACACGTAGTGTGTGTATTATAAACATTACTAGCACTATCCATACTTAAGGGCCCTACTAAATCTAAATGAACTATGTATATCAAAGCGGAATATCCCGTATCGGTTATAACTTATAACCATTGGTTCCTTTATATATTTATTTAAGTGTTTATATCGCAAACACTTGTCACATCGATTTACATAATTAGGTAACGTTACTAATTATGTATAAGTATATAGTCTCTAACTCCGGTCAAAAGAATCTTTTCTTTCTATTGTTTATCATTCGCTCATACGCGCGTGACCGTTAGTTGGCAAAAAATGATAGTCGTTTAATATTACATGTTTTGTCACACGGCAGTCCTAGTGCAACATAATCATAATCATTAAGGGGATATAGTAAGTCAGCTCAAATTCTAATTTCACCCCCATTGCCCGCGCGTCGTATGCTATGTACCGACATGTTTGTAATCACTAATACTGTAAGTAGATAGGTCGTTAGACACTTATTTCATTAGGTTTATCATATTTATGCCTGTTTCTTAACGCCAAGCCATTCGCTTCTTATTTTTATTACGGTTATTTCCCATTTTAATTTTACGTCGTCCTGTTGCCTAATGTGTATTCTGATCGTAAGCGACACAACCTCCGCCTTCAAAGGCCGAAGCGAAACTGACCGGGCGGCAGGAATCACGCTTCAAGAGGCCGATAGTTTAGGTAATTTCTTTTTACAGTGAAAATAATGGTATTTTAAAAAAAGTAAATAACATAAGCACTGCTTTATAGTGAGTTCAGTTAGTATGCAAAGCTTAGAGGTAAATTTGGATTTTTTTTCTATCGAGAAAATTTTACGGAATCGTGTTTTCGTCTACCATAATCCTTAACATTAATTCTCAACTTTACTATATATTTATTTCAAAATTAATGCTGCAATATTTTCGGCATAAGGGAGGATCTTGCTAAACCATTTGAGGTTATGTTTCCCCTTAAGTACATAATCAAATAAAATTGGTGTTAGGCTAATGTATCCCTGAATTTCTAAATCTCCAATGCACAATCTCTATCACGAGCTTTGAATAAATCATCTTCTTCCATTAGATTATTTTCCTTTTCTGAAGACTGCACATCCTCCATGTAAATTATTAATGCTCAAGATCGTCCATCCAATTTCGCCTGCATCGGATACTTTTCTAAAGTTTCATTTAAAAAAGGATGGACGTAGCACTGATGGAACTTTCCGCATGTCATCACCATTAAGACGGCCGTCTTTTTGCGGCTGCTGTGTTACGGCCGCTATAATATGGCAGCATCACAATCTTAGGAAACCAGAGCTTAAGCTATTGACAAGGTTGTCGCGCTTTGATGTGTGGTGTGTCAAAATACCGACACAGCTTGGAATATTGCAAATGTCATCGTAATTTATTATTTTTGTACATTTGTGATTTTATGGAACTGTCCGGAATCGAAGAAGTTGTTGTTTTTTGTAAATTATAACAGGCTGTATTTTATTCCACTGGATATAAGTAGTTGCTAAAACGGACCATTAAAAATACAAAAATATGTTTTAATACGACATAAATACGAAGATTAAAGGATATTTTTTATCATTACAGTTCTGTTTGACAAAAATGAATAAATTTAAAATAAACAACGAAAATATTGATAATATAATATGTAAATCAAAATACAGTTAAGCCCGCCTTTCGGGGGTTGGGTAGGCTTGCATTAAACGTTCCCATTGGTCGCCCACCCCTCTGTCCACTAAATTCAAGTATCCGTTGGGGGAGAAAGACTTCGATTGGGCGTGGCTGGAGTTCCCGAGGGATGGCGAACGCACCTGACGCAGACTCCAATCCACGTGTCTATAGCCACTGAACAACACGTATGTCACTTAACATTTTAATATTTAAAACCTTAGCGCGATACTTTAGACTACGCGGTGAACAATTTTATTTGTTCCTATTTGGATTAAAGAAGATATATGTGTCTAATGTTTTAATTTAGGATTCAATGTTTTTATTGTGTTTGTAGTGTTAGTATAACTAAATATATTGTAGTATCTGCTTAAGATAGTGACAATTATTTGAAAATACTAAGAAGAAGTACAATTTGATTATAATGACAGAAGAACTAAGAAAAGATAACATACATAAAGCTACATCGGTGCAATCTCCACGACCGTCGTCCCCAAGGAAATTTTTCGCGCGTATCTATGGACATTTAGAAGCTCCTCAACAAACACCAGTTCAAGTAGTAGAACAAAACAAGCAGGAGTCTGACAGTGAGTCTTGTTCTGATGTAGAGATAGGTGAGAACGAAAACCTGAAAACAAGGGTGCATCAACTATGGACGCCACCACCGCCTTTACCCTTATGCCCGCGACCAATGTTATTGCCACATCAGCAGATAGCATTCGGTGCTGGATTAGCTGCATTCTGTAAGTAGCTACATATCATTATTAATACTTCTAACACATATTATAAAGCAACACGAATTTATATTTTTTAGGCTGGTAGAGTTAGTAGTTTTTAGGCTATTTTTTTAGAGCCGTGGTAGCTCAGATGGTTAACGCTCGCTGTAAATATAACAGACCGCGAGTAACCCGGGTTCAATCCCCGCCGGCACCAATGAAATTGTTAATTTCAATTTAAAGTGCTGATTTACCACGTGCTCAGCGGTGAAGGAAAACATCGTGCGGAAACCTGCATGTCTGAGGAATAAGAAAAAAATATATTTTCGAAGACATGTGAAGTTCGCCAAGGGCGCGGCGGACGCTTCCTTGCCCTAAAACCCTCTCAGAAATGAGGGGGAGGCCTGTGCCCAGCAGTGGGACGTATATAGGCTGTAACTTTACTTTACTTTACTTTAGGCTAGTAGGAAGTAATAACAGTTTTAACCCAAAAGAATGTTCTTATAGAACATTAAAAAAGCGAAAAAATAAATAAAACTGCAGACATATTTATGTGTAGCTTCGCACGCGTGATATCCAAATGTGGATCTAAACTATCTAGAAACCCATTCAAACACACAAAAAATTTCATCAAAATAGGTCGAGCCGTTTTTGAGTTAAAGCGAGACTAACGTACATTAATTGATTTTTATATATAAGTAAATATACAAATACATATTTAAACCATGACTGCAGTATATGCAATGTATCTGCAAACTGTCCTACCATCTTGTACAGTGTAGTGCATGGTCCCATGGTTTGACTACTCCACAAGCTCGATTTCGGAATGGAAAAAACTTTCTTCGGGGATTTTATGCTATATAAAATTCATAATGAAGACATGCTGGAGAACAAATATCTTTAACAAAGTATTTTTTATCGAGAGCCACGCTGCAATTATTGGTTGGAATACGAATAGGTCGGCTAGAACGGCGAAAGACCACGCTTTCACAGAATACGAGTGTAAAATAGCACCTTAATGCTTCTGTGATTCGTATGGTGTGTAGAGAATGAAACCCACTTTTTTCATTTACCAACACGGTTGACTGTGTGCTCGTAAGTTCCTCTTATTCTACAAATATGTTGAATTACAGTTGTAATTCAAACGTAATGTGGGACACTTACTGGTTAGAAGTGGAACGATGCCCAATGTTAGGTGGTTGACAGCAAAAGAGTGCTAGAAGCCAATGATAGGGCTCTGTATGCACCTTGAGAGTTGTGATCGGGGTTAGTGATGAAGTTAAATTATACGTGGACTCCTAAATCTGCGCAGCCTAGGCCATATTTGCCGTCAGGCAATCCACAAATTCAACTAAAGGGCTTCATTTTTAATGTATTACCTATGTGGTAGAGCAATTCCGCAGCTATATTAGTAATATAGTTGATCACGAATGGGTCGGCTCGACCGGGGAAGAACCACGCTCTTACACAATACCAGCGTAAAATAGCAACTTAACGCTGCTGCGTTTCGTATGGTGAGTGTAGGGAACCGGAAACCCCTTTTACTTGAAACGAGGCATTCCATCTGTCTTCAGGGGATGGGGATGGGATTTGCATTTTGACTCGTAATCGAGGATATATGTAGACGTTGGCCGCATTAACCACTTGCATCATAACCATAACATCAGGTGGAATCATTCTGAATGAATCTGTGTGCTCATTCGTCACCCTTATGCGTGCATTATATAAGCTATCTTTTATAATGTACGCATCCACTTAGAAAGAATTTTTGAATATTCAACCCTAAGAGGGTGAAATAGGGTGTTACAGTCTATATAAAACTTTTTTATTTTAACGGGGCGATTGGCTCGAAACTTATTAAAAGTACTCCGTAAATAAAATAAGTGAAGACATATATTGCGATTTTATAATAATATAAATGTAAATAATATAAAATTACGTGAGGGCGGCTTTGATGCGATAGCTTGAGTTTTCCGCATTATGCGATCTCATAATAAGCGTGGGTCAATAGTAATAATTACTACTGTCTGGACGTACAACAAGGACGCGGGTAACAAATAAAGGATATTTCTGTTGTTTTCATCATTTGGTTGGGATCTACAACTATTTATAAAAATATACTATAAACAAAAATAAGATGGAATAAAACATATACTTATTAGGATATATGCAATTAAATAAATAAATAAACTTCAATTTGACGGCAGCTAGACCCTGCCGCGGCTGGGGAGACCAAAAAATAGCCAAGGGTAATGTTGAAAGCAAAAATCTCTAGAGGATGCAGGCGGTATCGAGGTGCACGGTCTTCTTCTGCCCAGAGCGGTACGTCCCGGAGCTCCAGTTGACTAAGAAACCCGTGAGGCTAATTTTAGTCGGTAGACTACCACCCCCACATGTCGGTCACCTCGTAAGCCAGGTTCATATATTTAATTCTCTTACCTGTTTCGGCTTACAAAAAGTTTTCGTCATACGAGATGATAATGTCGATCAAAACTATTCACGATCGCCGAGCCGGTCCATCACCATAATATTCGCCAGAGTACCTAGTCCTGACTGTAATGATGGACTGGTCCCTATAGAGCCTGGCGCGGATGAATACTTATAATAAGGCAGATTCTGACCTACTACACCGTACTTCAGAGCTAGACTTAGGTCCTGGGTTGTGTCTGTGTCAACTAGCAACCGAAGATGGCGACGAGCTTACTTATATTTAAATCAACCCTGACTGGTCGTAATAATTGAATAAAACTATTTATACAGATTTTATCGCGTTGAACTAACTTATTTTAAATTCCCGGCGTTTCGGGTGCTTTACAGCAGCCATGGTCACGGGTGAGACGGGTGTTTGACGTCCTAATGTCATAGTAAGCCCGGCTGCTTTCAGTTTTTTAATATTAATTTTTGGCGAGAAATCATTATGTTGTCCTAAAACAACCTAACCCTATATCGTACAGACTAACTATCGAGGAGAGGTCACCGAAACATAGGCAGTGGAGGGAAGAAACTAGTGTATGTGTATTATAGTATTCTATGGAAGCAACCGAGTCTACGAAAGTCTAGAAGTCTAAGTAGTCTAAGTATAGAGTCCTATAGACTCCTTCTATTTACATACGGTCTCCCATTCGGAAATGCTCGGTACTGCCGTGTTCTTTTGTGAACTGCCGTGTTTGCCATTGCTCGTTGACTAAGGGTGGAAGGGTTAGCCTTTTACCACGAGAATTGACATCGATGTAGAATAGATCATCCAATCTCATCACGAAGTAATTACCTACAGAGGTTACAAACTTGGCTACTGTGCATTTTCTAAAAACCACGCTCACCATCTGCTTTATCATTGACATATATTCTGCAACATACCCGGGTATCGGCATGTTTCAGTCTTAGGAAGTGTCCTTAAGTTGAAAGGCATAGACAAGCAGCATCGACAATAGCCTAATGGCAGGGCGCGGACCGCAAACTCAAAAAGGTCGTGGGTTCGAATCCGCCATTCGACTACTGGGGTGAACCACTCGTAACGTGACGAGTGGTTAACGGGAATATTATTTTCTAATGTTTATAGCATTGGTAATGTACTTTTTCAAAAAAAAAGCAACCCTACAACATGAAGGACCGCGCTGCTTCTATCTGTCCTCAGCTCCATTTTTATAGTTACAGTTAGTTCTTTTGGTAGTATTATTTAGCAATCCCGTAAGTTGGGAGCGATTAAAAGCATTGAGGTCATACATGAAGAAAAGGTGGGTCACTTTCGTCCCTCTCCTCTAAATCTGATATCCACTTCCTGAGCCCGCTAGTAATGTACTGAAAACATGTATGAAGCAGCGAGTCCAACGACTTCCTTTATTCTATCTAGTGTTAATGAGTAGTGGTTCCTTGGAATCACGGCAGCCGCCCTGACATGCATTCTGAGCGACTTCTGTGCTACGGTTTTACAGAATACCAGCGTAAAATAGCAGGTTAATGCTGCTGTACCTATGTTTTGTGTGGTGAGTCTAGAGAACCATACACCCTGTTTACTGGTTACTTGGTATTCCATCGTAAAGCGTTAATTAGTACGCAGAATTTGATCGTGGCCGTGTGTGTCTTTATGAATTACATCTCACCATGATGTAATTCATAAAGATCGACCTTCAACTGCAATCAGTGAGGAAAATGTGGCTACTGTCAAGCGACTAACTGAAAAAAACCAGCGCATCACCTATGAGGAGGTTCGAGGAGTTGTGTCTTGGTATGAGCCAAATAAAAAAAAACATCAACATTTTAAAAGTTAGAAAACTTTGTTGCCGTTAGATTCCTGACTAACTCGGCCAGGAACAAAAACGTGCTGGAGTTGATTGGTGTAAAAATTTTAAAATATGATCACGGACGTTTCATTAATGTGTATATCATTGGGACAGGATATGAAATATGGATAAGTATATTGTTACAAAAAAGCTAGTTTTCTGTATTTATATTTGAAAGTAATAACAAGTAAGTAAGTAAGTTCTGTATTTATATTTGAAATAGAGGCAAGCAAGAAGCGTGGGCAAAAAAATTATTGCGTATCATCGATCACTATGCGTATTTTAATCCCAAGCGGGTCCTATCTACACAAAGCCACTTGATGAGTAAAAAAACAGTTAATGCTGAGTGATACTTCACCATTTGTTTTCTTTGAAAAAGTTGGGGAGAAACGACCAAGAAGTCGTAACCTATTGCACCATTACAATGCTTCGACGCACACCGCGAACAAGACAAAGTGATTTTTGGCTTCTAAAAAGATGTAGCTCGTGACCTATTCCACACACATGACAGATAGCTTTCAACCAGACCGTGAAAAACATTCCCTCAGACCAATGGTGCTTATGTTTTAATAATGGTTTCAACAAAAAAAAAGTGTTTTAATGTTATGAAGAATACTTTAAAGAGTAGTAAATCGTTGCTAATACCGCAAAGGGGCGTAAATCATATTTTTTTAAATTGCAGGAGATTAAGAAAACGTTTATTTTTACCCGATTACCAGATTTTTTCATCAGAAAATTTAAAATATTAAATTTAA